CAAGGATGGAGTTGCCAGCTTGTGGACCGAACATGTCTCGATTTGAGAGCTGTGTCAGGAAGCAAAAAACGTTTATGATGAAAAGAGAAAGGACCGCTTCAACGAATGGAAAGAGCAGGTCAAGGCATACATGGAGAAGCAGGAATGGAAGGCCAACTGCAAGTGTTAGACTTGAGAGCACGGTATTGATTTGTTGAAATTAGAGTGGAGAATGAAATCCGCATATCTACCGGCAGCCGGACTTCGCCAGGACTACATCGAGGAGGCGAAGATGCTGAAGGTCCCCGTGAAGAGTTTTTTGCCGAACAAGAAGCTGGCGCTGCCTGGCCAGTTTTCACTTCACGAGTTGCTGTGCTCATAAAGCCTGTCAAAACGAGTCAACCCACCGTGGCTTTGCAAGCTCAGGATTAAAAAGCTGAAAAACGGCATGAAGATTCAACGACCGCCCGAGAAGCCCTACAACTTCCCAGCCAAGCCACCAACCGCACAGAGAATTTTCTGCTCTGAGAAAAGGCCTGTGCCGGGGAAGTGTGGGGCAGAGCTGATGGGAAGCAACGCTTAAGCTGGCTTCGTAGGACTCATGTCCTAGGCCGTTCTGTCTCTGCAGGAAAGAAGTGGAGGACCCATCAAAGTTGCTGGAGATGTGGGGAGCTTTGTCGGAGGAGGATGGGTGGAGCAGGGACTGACAGATTTCAGTGCATCTTGTTTTATGCAAATTCATAGCAGGAGCGCAAAGTCTACGAGGGAAAACAGCAAGACTTGGCCGCCCAGTATCGCGAGGACGTTCAGGCTCGGCCGTGTTGGAGCGACTTGTTTAAGGCTCGAGCGCGGAGGCAGTGTCGCAGGACACTGCATGATACTATATACTCACTACTGTATACCTTCACACATGATTTCTTCTTTCGGCTCTTGCATTTTGCTTGGCTGCTGCCTGGTTTTTGCTTTGGGCATTCTTGATGCCTATTCTGCTTTCCGTTGACTAGTTTCAATTCGCCCACTGGGAACGAGATGATGTCATAGAGTCAGATGATGTCATAGAGTCGTACCTTTGACATACAGGTCTGGGCGGCTAAGAACAAATCTACTGAGGACGATCTGTTGCCAGAAACTCATGCATCAAAGTTGGCTGCACCGCCACGAGTACTCCGGGACATGGTGACACACGGACACAAAGACTGGAGGATGGCAGGCCTTTACTGTTGTCAGAGCTTGAAGTCATGGTCCGGGAGTTGCAGTGTAAGACATGGTAAGACTGTGGGATGAAGAGTCGGATGCTGTCTGCTGATGAATTCCTGGGTCGGGCCCATGAGCCACCGGTGCTTGTCAGGCTTTTGAAGGCAGTGACGAGGGCAAGGAGTACTTCAAAAGGCTCGCGCAGGTCCGGAAAAGCAATGCGAGCTTCGTCAGCGCTAGCTTTCGGATCGCCGACAAGGAAAGCTCTTAAAGTTGCCATGCTACTCAGGATTGCTCAGGCGAAAGACAAGTACTTGGAGGGTATGCCGAAGAAGCCGAAAGGTGCAATTCAGCTCTTTCTCCAGGAGAAGCTGAAAGACCTGAAGAAGGACCGGCCGAGTGAGACTGGCATCCTGCTGCAGGTTTTTGATTTCTGGCTTTGCAGGCCAAGCCTGATCTAAAGGGTCCAGATCTCAAGAACGAAGTTCGCGAGGCATGGTGGCTCGGCTTGGAGCTCTCACAAAAAGGCGGCAGTAGCACTGCACGGGCAGCACGGCACTTACCCAAGGAAATCTTGCCCAGAGGAGGAAAGAAAGGTTTATCAGGACAAGGCCGACAACCTCATGAGTGCATACGAGGACGCCGCCTTTGCAAGTCTGCAAACCCAGAGTGAACCTGTGACAAGCACCTGTGTTCACGGTTAGAAGGAATCGTTGAAAGAGTTCAGGGAGACCGAGAACTTCAAGAAGTATGCATCGCAAGTCCGGAAGCTCTCCAAGAAGAAACCCGGCGGAGGCAACGCTCAAGACCAAGAAGAAGGATTCGCTTCTCGACGCAGTCTGTCCTGACGTCCGGACACTGTGACTTCTGACTTCTATTCGAGAATCAACTCTGCGCTGCCAGCTTCTGCAAATGGTTGGCAAGCCGTGATCCATGAAGGGGCTTCGCTAGTCGCGAGAACCCTTATCTTTGTGCTGAGATGTCTTCTTTTCTCGACTCTGTCTGTTATTGCTGTGGTAGGCAAGGGCAAGGGCAAGGGAAAGCGTTCTGGCAAGTCAAGATCTTTGGCTGCATTCGGTCCCTGCTTGTATTCAGGCTGCGAGACGGAACGGGAGAGCTCATCCCTAGTGACCCAGAGTCTAGTGAGTCTAGTGAGTCTAGTGCCTGTGCCGGCATCGCGGAATTTGTCTTGCGAGATGATGTGGTGAAGCCTGAGGCAGCGGCAGGGGAAAGGGCAAAGGCAAAGGAGCGAAAAAGAATCAGAGGGGCCCTGAAGTTCCAGAGAGCATGCCGAAAAAGCCGAAGTCCGCGATGCAGCTCTTCATGAGCAAGAACAAAGGCTTCGCTCTCAACGGCTACATGACCGACCTTTTTCAAGAGAAATGATTCTTGGTGCAGGTAGCGGGGGTTTGAAGGCCCAAGCGGAAGCCTGGTCTGCGCTTGGCGCTGAGGTTGGCTACCGGCTGCCTTCCCTAGCCTTATATCTGGGGACAACTTCGCCTACTCACCTCACTGAGTCAGTAACTGATGCATTGTGCAGGGCCAGAAGGAGTACGTAGACGAGGCCAGATCGCTGTCCGAGCAGACGCTCGGTCGCGATGCAGATGTGAACGGCCGCGCCGTATTCTTGAGCCTTGAGCCAGTCGGGAAATTCTCGAAACTCAGGTACGACAAGGACCGGGCATGCCAGTCAGGCAGCAGTGTGAGAGCTTGAAGGGTGCACAGATGTCTTGCCTTCTGGAGCTTGGAGTAGGCCCTGGCCGAGTCTTACCACCGTCCAGCTTTAGCTGTGCCTGGAGGACATGCTGGAATTTCGAAAAACAGGTGAAGGCGAATCAGCGGAGATGTAAGGGGTTCATGCTGCCAGAAGTATGTCTACAGAAGACCCTGTTCGGCAGATACTGCCACTTGTCTTGCCTTGAAGGCAAAAAGTATCTCAGACTCAAGGCAGCCGCAGCAAAGAAAGCGCGTCGCCAATCTGAAGCGAGGTGTTAGCATGAATAGAAGGTGATTGATGCAACTTTGCAATTCCGAGACCTGTGATAGAATCATCGACAGATGTTGAGGTGTGGACAGTGCTCGAGCAAAGTATTTGGGCAAGGAGGATGCCCCCAAGCCTCCTCCAAGTGCTCCTGGTGGCTTGGCTGAATGCAGTCGGTCTTGCATTCATTTGCCAGAGCATGTCCCAGAGAATGTTGCAGTATTTGCTCCTGTCCTCCTGCTGAGCTGTCTCGCAATGCACGCGGTCACAGTATATATATATATATATATATATATATATATATATATATATATTGCAGTCAACCTGCCCCAGCAAAGCAACCAAGGTGCTTATCAGCTCTTCGTCCAGGCTGTCGGCTAACTTTTATCGTCTTCTCCAAACTTTGCGGATCTTCTCAGTTCGCAGCATCGCGCAATACACGGAGTCACGGACTTAGATGCACTTCGCAGTTGCTGCAGGAAAAGAGGCCCACGCTGCAATCTGCCGGCAAGTCCGTCGGAGAAGTCGCCAAAGAGATGTCCCAGATGTGGGGCAGCATGGTAGCAGCTGGTACGTGACAGCTGTCGCTGTCGGGGACATGGGGGCCATGGCGGCAGCAAAGGAAAATACTCCGAAGAAGATCGGAAGCCTTACGAACAGCGTGAGGCCGAGCTCAAGGCATGCCCATGTCGGTAACGCGCTTACAGTCGATGATCCCGTGCGCTTTGCGGGAACTTCTCCTGCCAGCGCTTCTCAGCAACGTCACTGCCCTGACAAAGTGAACAGATGTCAGGCAGAATACGAGGACAAAATGAAGGAGTACAAACAGTCCGAAGCATACATCAAGCAACCCAGCTGCCCTGAGTCGGTGGTTGCCCTTGAAGTGCCCTTTTGCAGAGTGGATGGCGCCCAGGTTTGAGAAGGCCAAGAATGCTATCTTCAAGAAGCCCAAGGCCAAAAAGGAGGCAAAGAAAGCCAAGAAGCCCAAGAAGGCCAAGCAGACAAAGCCGAAGGCCAAGGCGAAGGCCAAAGCGAAGGGGAAGGCAAAAGCCAAGGCCAGGCCTTAGAAATCGACGAACGACGAACTCGCGCCTGGTCTCGTGCCTTTGACTCTTCGTTTCTTAGGACGCAGTCACTGTCCTAGGCTCGCGGCCGTGGAAAGAAGCAGGTGACGTTTGAAGCACACTTTGCTCGCGCTACTCATGTCGTCGACTGTTTTTTGGTTACATGCGACGCTTGCTGTGAGGCTAGCGCAAGTGACAGCGATGTGATGGGCAGTGACAGTGACAGTGATAGCGACAGCAGCAGCAGCGACTCCGACTGACAGATAGCTCTCAAGCACTGAGGGCGAACCAGCCCAGACTTCGCGGTTTGCACAGACTCGAAGTCGCCTGTTGTGCTGTTTTCAGAGTCAAAGCGCAGCCTGCTGGACTCGGGTGAGCTACCCGTGTGGTGGGAGTCCGCAGCTCTGCAAGCGCTGAAGGCAGGGAGCTCAGGAAGCAGTGTCCCAGTAGGTGCTTACGCAAATGGGGTGATGCGGATGATGCCTTCTCCTGGGTGTCGGCCTCTTGAGTGATGCCTTGCTGCTACATCCCATCCGCTGTTGTCATGCATCACTCCGCTTGGACGTCTTCGGACGACTGCAATTACGCTTTGCGGTTTGGCTTCCTCCAAACCGCGCACCGTCAGGGGAACGGCAGTGCATCGCAGAAGGGCCTTCAAAGGCCTGAGCTGAGATGCAGATCAGTGCCCATCGCGAAAAGAGCCGGTTCCGGCACTCGCAATGAGCTGTGCCTGGGCTGGCGCAACGAGCGGATGCCTGCAGCCGTCTCCGGTCAAGCACGTGATGACTGCGCGTGCCCTTAAGAGGCACGGTTTGGTTGTGTAGGTGACCGTTCTGCAATCTCTTGGTTTGTGATGTTTCTGGTCTGTGGCTTCAAGGGAACGGCTCCCTCGGCTGTACAAAGCTCCTTGGCAACAGGCCTTGCAGGCGCAGTACATCTGCTCTACCCTCTTATTTCTAAGGATGTCCTTTCCAAGAAGCCAAAGGAGTATTGGGACTACGAGAAGATGATAGTCGCTTGGACTGGTTCTAAGTGTAGTCACGTGCTCCTAGTCCTCTGAAGCAATGGTTGACGGTAGCGAGAAACGGCAATCTGCAATTTTGTCTTCCTCTTCTGGACTTCGTGGCTGCTTTCATCTCTTGTCGGCTTCTCCTGTGGTGAGTTGCAGCTCTGGAGCCGGAGGTCAAATGGGGAAATCTGGAGCACTACGAGGTTACACAGAAGATCGGGCGGGGAAAGTACAGCACCAGCCTGAGCTTTCGACAATCGGGCAGCTGACAGCATTCTTCTTGTCGTCGGGGAGACTTGTGTGCTCTGAGAGACGAGGTGAAGTTTTCACCGGCTACCATGTGCCCACGAACAAGAAATGCGCAGCCGTGCTCAGTTTCTTTTTGGCTCGGGCACCGCCGTAGCCCTAGCCACGCGCCAGAAGGCTGAGCGCTTTCAGGTGATCAAGATCCTGAAGCCAGTGAAAAAGAAGAAGATCAAGACACTCGACGTTCTATTTCTTTTCACCTGTGATCGACGAACATTCATGCAATCAATTCCCAGAACGTCAGCCGGGGCACCAGCCATGCCAGGAGTGCTGAATCATGCTGATTTGGTCCATGAAGCGGACGTATCCGTGATAGCCAAGGCGTGAAATCAAGATTCTTCAAAACGAACCTTCGACGCGCTTGTGGGGATAAGATTCTGCCGCAAATTCCCAGACTGTGTCTTCGTGCAGGATGTATTGACGTGAATTATAGGCTTAGGTGCCGGGCTCCAAGCCCCCCAAGTTAGAGCATGGCCGCTTGGCAGGTCAGCAAGGGACCCAACATTGTGGCATTGCTGGACATCGTCCGCGACCCGCTGACAAAAACACCCTGCCTCGTTTTCGAGCACATTAACAACACGGACTGGAAGACACCTGCCAACTTTTGAGATTGCATGCCCACATGCTTGCACACACACACACACACACACACACACACACACACACACACACACACACACACACACACACACACACACACACACACACACACACACACACACACACACACACACAACCACACACACACACACACACACACACACACACACACACACACACACACACACACACACACACACACACACACACACACACACACACACACACACACACACACACACACACACACACACACACACACACACACACACACACACTGATGGATTCGGCCAAGAGTACGAGTGCAAGAGGAAAAGAGAGAGGCATGTTGTTCATGTTGCAAAGTTTTGTCAGATTGTGGCAACCGTACAACTTGTTTGTCTAATCTGGACACCACAGGGGGGCTGTCCTCAAAACTAATCTTGGCACCACAGGGGGCTGCCATGCAGGTACACAGGACTGATCAGGTCCCGCTTCCCACTTGCATCCACAGCTTCGTTGAGTGTGGTAGGACGCAAGTGCCACACTCCCCTGCAACAGTTGATTTGGTAAATGTCCAATGCCGGATTATGTTGAAAAGCGAAATTGCAAACAGTGTAGGAGTGACCCTCTGCTCCCATGTGCTAGGGAGGTTCACACACACACAGCCCCAATGGGGCGTACATGCTTCAAGTAGAGTGAAAGGTCTGATGCGCGGCAATAGGAGTGAATGGCGCACTTTTCTCGCTGTCAATAGCGATCGGGTGATTGTCGTATTTCCTGATCCGAACAGGTTCTAACAAAAAGCACCGGCATCAACGTGGCTAATGTGGTGACTGAATCCCAATCATGTAGTCGTCGACGGTTTTGTTCGAAGAAGAAAGCTGGGATTTTAGGAGTTCTGCCGGTGATCTCCTTGATGCGGTAGGAGAAGATCTTGCGAGCTTGGAGAACGTTGTCACCCAGACAAAGCACCACGTGTAAGAACATGTGCTTGTCTCTGGTGATGCGGTCGGGTGGAATTTCAACAGTCATCCGAAAACATTGTCCTGCCATGGAGTACCATGGAAGGCCGGCCTCGGCAGCCTTTCGCTTTGTCATATTTTTGCTGCTACCAACCGACAAAAGCTTGAACAAGGAATGCAAATCAACATGGACATGATGTGTGCTCTGGCAAAACAACAAAGTGGTGTCGTCCTGACACTCGCATGCGCAGGCTTTTTTGTCACGCTTAGCGGATCTTGCAGCCCTAATCCGTCCTGAGAATTAGGGTCCAACAGCGAGTTTGTTGGGACAGTCACTCATGATCTTGAAATGGCATCGACACCTAAAACCTGCACGTACCAGCATTTTTGCACAAGCGGTTTTGGACCGCTTGTGCTGAATAGTAGGATGCACAATATCGTAAGGTGCAATCGAGTCAGAAGACCAAGGATCTCGAGATGGAGACCGGTGTGCGTCCTCAGCCATGTGTGACGTTGCCGTAGGTGACGCTGATGATGTTGAATGCGAAGAGCGTGTCCTCTTTCGTCTTGTAGTATGTGGATGTTGGCGTCGTTGCTGTGTTGTGGATTGGGATGGTGGTGAGATGTTGCGTGTTTTCTTTGTTTTCATGACTGTTTTGTCCTTTTTGTCTTTGTTGTCTTTCTTCTTTTTTGTCCTCGTTGTGTGCTTTGTTTTTTGCTTGTGTGTGTGACTGACTGCATGGGAGGATGTGGTGGTGTCATCCTTCCTCAGGAAGGCATCAATCTCTTCGGATCCCCATAGGCTGCTGTCGTCGTCCTCGTCCATCTGTGTGCGATCCTAAATATGTTTCAGCAACTGTAGTTCTGAGAAATGGCTGCGGAGTCACAACTGCATTGAGGCATGTGCATACGCTGATCTTCAGAAGAGAGAGAGAGAGAGAGAGAGAGGTACACAGACATCAATTGAGCAACCTCGCCGACCGGCATGACCTTTCAACATGATGCTCTTAATGTTGAACCTCATCAGGAATGATGGAGTTCGCAGCACAGCTTTGCTGTGTGGTTGTTGGCTGCCGGGGGCAGCAAATGTGCATCTAATTGTCAACTCAGCAATGTTGCTCACGGAGTTCTTGACCGCTTTCTCTTGTTGGATGTAGGAGTTGATGTAGTAGATACTGTCTCCTTTTGGGTCGGAGGCGTTGATGTCGGACGCTGATCAGGTTGCTCCGCATGCTTTCGTATCCACTCTTGAGATGCGATAAAGTACTCCCGCCACCATGAAGAGCCGTTAGTGGCCCAATGCCATCTCCATTGTGATGCCGTGGGAGATCGCGATCTGGTGCGTTGTTCCATGGTGCTAACACAACTGGTTGTTTTGCAAAATGCTGCGGGAAAGAGTGCATCAATCGCTGCATACCAAACATATGTGAAGTGAGTGCACTGACTGTCACAATTGGCAACAACGACAATCGTTGTTTTAACCGTCCGCTGCAAAGCACCCAATGGTGGTATGAACATGGTTGATCACCTATTGTTGCGAAGCTTCGAGTCTTTCCACTCGTTGCTTTAGCTCTGTGATCTGCCGGGTTGTTTGCAGAATAAACTCGGCTAATTGGTCGCGTAGAGCCTCGTCACTGAATGTGGAAGGTTCACTTCCAGTTTCGGAATCATAGTCCCGATGCTGTGTCAAAATCTCCATGAGGGCCTCGGAGAGAGCTTCACGTCGTGACTCATCGACGGGTGGCGAATCTGTAGTCACTGTGTTTGTCGGAAGAGATGCTTCGCTCATGGCTCGGTGTCGGGATTCCGATAGGTGTCACTCTGAGGCAAAAACTTCAGAAGGCAAAGTTATGGTGTGTGTCTGAAAGCAACATGTGTTGAAATGCGAGAAGTGTGCACTACCTGGCTCTTTTTATACCAGCGTACCTTAGCAGCATATTCACGACCAATCAGGCGCGTTTTGCCTGATGAGGCTTTCGAGTACGTCGAGCTGCTGTTTGCACGAGGCGAGGATCGCCGTGGTAGCCTCGTGTTGAGTGGTCAACACCGTTGTAGCCTGTTGTATCAGGCGCTCGAGTTTGGCATTCGATTCAAGCAACGAATTGTGAAACTGCGTTATTGCTGCCATAATCTCAGTCGATGAATCCGGATCAGAATGATGCGGAGGTGGAAATGGCGGGGTCGCCGGTGCAGCCACTGCTGCGTCCTGCTGTTCTTCCGGATCTTGGTGTTGCTCTTGGTAATCTTGGAAATCTTCGTCTTCTGCAACACGTAGGAACTGAGAGCGCAAAAGCGCCGGCTGTTGATTGTGGCTGCCAACCGCAGGTTGCTCGTTGCGGCGTCTGCTATGCTTGGAGATGGATGGCCGAGGACGGCCGCTCAGCGCTTTGTGGCTCGGCTGCAATCTGCCAGTCATGGCACTTTTATACATGATGATGCCTCAGTTAAACCCTGTAAATGGCTGCGGGAAGCACTGTGTTGATACAAGGCGGCTCTCATGTTGCAAAGTTGCATGGCTCTGGACACACGCACGGCAACTTGGCACAGTGTTTTGCTTACAGCTGTTGATCAGTATAGCCGGCAGCGATGTAGAGATCGCGCATGGCTCGAATGGCTGATGTGGCCTCGCTGCATGGTGTTGTCACTCTGCGTACCATGCGTGTGCGGGCCTGAAAACTGCTGCGAAGTGTTGCAACAGAGGTGGCTGACTGTGGGTGTAAAATATCCGCCTTGTGCAAAGTGCATTGATGCGTAAGGCTGCTGTGCTGAGGGTTTATGGCGAAACCCAGGAAAATGTTGGCCGGTTCAGTTTCAAGCTGAACCGGTGGTTTGTAGAAAGATGCGTCAGTAAGCTGTGCAAAAGGAGGCAGTCGGGTCAGCTGTGCAGGTAAAAGAAGGACGCGGTTGTCGACGTATCTGGTAGCAAAAAAGAAAGCTTGATCCTGCTTGTTGTGGTCTGGAAAATGCTTGTGGTTCTTGAAAAGTTGTTTGTATGTGTGGTGCCAACACTGTTCTTCGACAGCAACCACGATGTTGCATAGGGCTGGGCTGCAGGGCGAGCCCATAGGTGCACCGCGAAATTGCTCAATGAGTGATGTACCAACAGTGAAATAGTTGAGTCGGAGCACTGCAATGATGAGTTGTGGTATGTGTTGTAATTGTATGCAAAGTTTGTTGCCGGAGGAGGCTTCTTGCTGCTTTTGTCTGCTTTTGCCCCTGTGGACTCGATGTGTGGGGTCTTTCTGTGAGTGGTCAATGAAGAATTTGGAAGAGTGTAGTGGGTTCTTCTCTCTGTACCATCGAACCATGATGCTGTATGCTGAAAGAAACCGGCTCTGATCGACCGATGTAAAGAAGCCAGCCAAATCCTGATTGTACAGGATGTAATCTGTTGAATCTTGTAATTTCCTGCGTTGATGCAAGAAGAGTGCTGTTTGTTTGAGCTGTGTTATCCCGTCTCCTTGGTGAAAGGAGTTTGGGCATGCTTGAAGTGTCATCAGCTGCAGTACGTCTGCTAAGGCTTCCCATAATTTTCGGCCCATGGTGTCGATGAACGCCACTATAGGACGTCCTTTCGCGAATTGCTTTTTTCTTTTCGGTAAAATGTAGGCACGTGGGATGCGGCCCCATTGTGGAAACGCCCATGTGTAAGTTGGTAGAAGACTGCGGATGTCTGTGTAGACATCGAAGTGGTGTTGTAGAGGTTGGCGCTGCGAGATCCGAAAGATCTCTTTGTCTAAAAAAGTGTTGTGTATGGCAGTGTGGTATAGTGCTGGGCAGTACCACGTGAGTCGGTTCGGGAAGTGATCTTCGCAATGGATGATGCCCGTGGGTATTTTGTGTTGGACTTGCTTGAGCATCTTGACCTGTAGTATGTTGTTTTTACTGCAGTGTGTGTTGTGTTGTGGTATTTGTTCAGATACAAACTGCTTTGTAGTTTGATGGTTGTAAGGTAGTCCATAGTGTCGATGCCATGTGCGTATGGCTCGGCATAATTGTGAGGCCAACTGTGTGGGCTTTTGAAGGCAATTGCTTTTGCCGGAGTATGCCAAAAACTGATGTTG